ATGTGCGCATTTTAAGCTTTTAAATATACCGGGTTGCAAACTTACATAAAGTTTTGACGATAAGTCCAAAATGGTGGTTCCAGTAAAAAAACATAGTTGATTACCACTAGGTATATTGAAAACTTGTTTTAAAACATATAACTTTTAAACACTGAAAACTTTCAAAAGACACATTTTCTTCTAAAATTTATATTTTTTGAAGTATAGCACTTTGGTGCACCAAAGCACAACCCTGTATATATTTTATATTTAGATTACTTAATTTTATCACATTTCATGTGTTTCGCATTCTATCTACCTACCCAAAAAGCGATAACAAAAAGATTACATAAATAATATTTCTAAACCAATTTTGTTTCTACCAAGTCGAACCTGGGAAAATTGTAGCTAATCTTCGACTTTTGTTTTTGTTTATAAGTAGAATTTCTTGCCTTGCAAGTTGAGGTTTAAATTTATAATTGAATGTACGTATATTAACGTTTATTAAACCTGTGTGTAAATCTACAGTAAAAAGATGTTGATACAAATCAAAATATAAAAACAAGTTTGAAGAATAGAAGAAGAAGCAAACTTTTTTTGGCGTTTAATTGTAGAATATAAAAACAAATGAGCTAATGAGAATGAGCTGCTGATGAGAGCTAATAGGCTCGAAACAGGTCCTGGTGGTGCCTGAGGTTAGCGAACATAGAAATTTGCACTGGTTTGTATTGTAAGATATGTAAAGTTGTATGTTAAAATCTTCCTCTGATCTAACAAGAATACAATTTAATTCTTAAAATATGAATTGAAAATGCTAAGAACAGGTATCGAATCAGGAGCAATGAATAAGAAAAGGATTTTCAATACAATGAAACACGAGAGTAATTATCATTTGACACATTCCAACTTTTAATGCTTATTGTAATATTTTGTTTTATTGTTTTTAGTAACAATTTTGTCTCAATGTCCACATGTCCCAACTAGTTGCCTGTCCATTGAAATGAGAGTTTATTGAGACAGATTTTAATTGATTAAATTTTTCTCGAATTTCATCGGATTGGGAAAAATGTTGTTTACATATTTTTAGTAAAATGCAGCTTCTCTAAAACAACTGAAATTATTCAGTTTCGAACTCAAAGAAAAATGCTTTACTGAGTTAAAAATACCAAAGCGGCTGTTCGAAAATTAAATTATTGACTGTAAATTAGTTGTGTATCTATTAACATAAATTTGTTGAAGGAATTCAATGTATATGCTTTCAGTCGGCCGATTTATCACTCGGGACGTCCGAAGACGTCTGATTTGTTATTTAAATGTGAACAGAATGCTTATTCTAGCAGCCTAATAATAGAACGAAACTCTAAATCAGTCTATTTGTGAAGAATTGGTTAAAACTCGTTAAAACTCACTGTGCAGCTTTCGGAATGTAATGGGAAGCAGCCGATAATGATAATCAGAATTTTCATCAAAATGTCTTTGAGATATTTAATGGCAATCAATAAATCTCGCCAATTAGCTAAATGAACGCAGACCCATAATTATTTAATTTTCTTTGGCTTGGGACGCTTCCGATTCGTAACATGCCGGGTATAAAACATCAAAGAGAGCAGAGCCGAGCAAAGCCAACATTTTCTTGCACAAGAAAAATGCAAGTGCAATTCTAAAAATAGGAATGAGTCAGCCTGTATAAGGTATTCCACATAGTACTTGCTTTTTGTATAATTTGTCCTTATAGTGAAGTTGTCTCGACCTGATATGGAAGTTCTTTGTTAGACTTCGTAACGATAAACTTGCAGATACACATCTTTATATGATGGTAGTTTGCAGGTAATTGATCTATCTACTAAAACGTTTTCCGAAATGCTCGTTTACAGGGTGTTAGCGGGTTTTTTACGAGTATTTTAATTTAATTTCAAGAATTAACTTGAGTGTTGAAATTTTCCTGATATAGCTTTAAAAGCTTCTCAGGTAAAATTTATGTAACAAACTAGATACGAGTTCACATTTTCTTGAAAGTCGGTTGAATATGTTTTTTTTAAAGAAGGTGCTTCAAAATTGAGTTCCCGCAACAATAATGAAGAAAAACGTAATTTAATTCTTGAAAAGTTCGAATTACGAAAAATCTGCACGAAATTTGAGACCATTTTCTTCTTCACTTGCCTAGAATATTCAATTTGCTTGTAATTACCACCGTAAATTAACATATCGTGAAATCTGTGCGTTTTTCATGTAGAAGATTGAGTTTATCCGGATGGAAGGTGAACTTTATCCATGTCGTCCATTTGAAGTTTCACAGAGTATAATAAAAAAAATCCAACAGCAAATACGCTCTCTCATATGCTCCAACAACTACAAGTTGTTTTGGTCATTGAGACCCAACAACAAATCACCCTGTATATTTGCTTCCATTCTATCTCAAAAGTAAATCATAGTGCATGAGACATGGTGTGTCATACGCACATGACTAAACCAGCTGTAAAAGGATCAAGTTAATACGATTTGACGTAACGCACTAACAAAAAATGTCTGAATCCTCTGCTATTGATGGTCAAAGATCTACAAAAAAGTTATGTTTTTTGAAATACCGGGAGAATGTTAGGATGGATTTTAATGAAACTCGTGAAATTATTTTTCTGTAAGACTCATATTTTGAAGATGCAACCTAGTTTGATTGCACTGCTCAAGTGGTGAATTATTGAGTGTTTTTTTCGTACACAAACTATCAGCGCGAGTTTGATTAAAATGGGTCGCATCAGTCTCCCGATATTTCAAAAAACCTAAGTTTTTTGAAGAACTTTAACTATAGTAGAGAAGCCAGGCATATTTTGTTAGTAAAACTAACGTCTTCTTTTGAACCGAAGAATTTGCTTTTTGCTTACGAGACACCCTGTATATTGAAAATCACTCTGTATAAAAGTACTTAGATGCTTTATTTTTATGATGTGTGCTTCTTAGAATAATGTCTAATGAATGGTTCTTTAATAATTAATAATTAATAATTATTAGACGTTTACGGAGACCACGATGTATGATCTCTCTGAAGATTTGTACATATATTTGTAATCAAATTTGCTCTACCATCCCAAAATATTTTAAAAAATGCGACATTTTAAATGAGACACCTTGTATATTATTGTACAATTTAAGGCGCTTTCCAAAATAGTAAATAAAATTATTTTTTTTTACCAAAACATAACTAAGAAATATTTGATTACGCCATTTCGATACCCGGAAATTAAACATTTTGGCTCTGTACATTTATCCAGGCTGTCTTGAAATTAGTGATATTTTAGCTACAAATAAAATTCACTTTAATTGTAATTTTTGTGTAACTGTAACTTAATTATAATTTTTCAAATAAAATGTTTATATTAGTCCATGATCGGGAAGAGTATTAAATTCCCCATAAGATGGTATATCATGTATAAAAAATTGATCTAAAGCGTCAAATTTCCAAATAAACTTTTTGCAAAAACTCGAATATTTTGACGTATTTGTCATAACGGTTGGAGACTGAGCGACATTTTGAAGCAGCTGTCAGCTTCACACTCAGCGTAGTTTCAGATGCAGGTTTTTTGCGCTTATCACTACAGTGATTTATTAATTAATAAAATCAACTATTCAAACGAAGTTTTGATAAAACTATTTATTCCTCACGAACCTTGTGACTAAATTCTTCTATTCCTAGAATTCCTCATTTAAAGCAAATTAATACAAAAAATTGTGTCGCACAAACTATCAACTGACAAACTGTCAAGCTGACAGCTGGTTTAAAGTGTCGCATCATCTTCAATCATTATGACATTTAATGTCAATCTTCAATATATTTCCAGTCTTTAGAAAACATGTCATTTGATAGGAAATTTAATAATGTTCTCGATGACTGGGTGTTTCATTTGAAAAATGCCATTGGATTCTAGCTAAAATATCACTAATTTCAAGGATTTGTATAATTTACAGCAAATTGATAAAACTTTTGATAAAATATGGATATGATTTAATATGTATATCGAAAACGGCTTTAAATAATCTATTTTTTCTTACTCGAGAACTTGCTTTACTGAAACATAAAAATGTGAACCGTTCATTTCTCTATATTTGCAAAATCGGACCTCAAGTTTATCAGTTTGAAATTTTCCGAGTAATGTAAATTCAATTTTAAAATGATTTAGTTATAATCTAGTGTTTACGGTACCTTTAATGCAATTTCTTGTTTATGGAGCTATACAGGGTGGGCCACCGAAAACGAAACGTTTCAAGTTTATTTACTTTATGTCCAAACACTGTCATTAAACCCTCGAGGAGGGTGGTATTCGCTCTTAAACTGTTAAATCGGAAGTGGGGTTGAGTAACAAGGCGATCATGCCTACTTTGTAACATGGTTATATGGCCTTATGTGGCATTTTTCAACATTAATTTACGTAGTTAATTGTCTTTTTCTTGAAAAATCCCTGTAGTTAAGCATAGTATGTTACTCGCATAGTAAGGAGTTACACATACTGGGAGGAAATGGCACCCATTCTGTGCTTATAACATAACATAATATACGATTCTTTTGTCACTAATTTTGGCTTGAGTTATAGCAAAGCCTTATTGATTCCCACCGAGATTATAAACTTAGTTCAATGTGTGTTTTATTGTAGGTGATCACCCCGAAAAAGTTCAATGATGTCTACCTGTACGACACGCCGCCGTTAAGATGCTCCCCCATACCAGTTTCCGGCCACAGTCCCGGAATCAGTCCGCGGGATCAAGTTAACGATTGTTACGACGTGCCCCCCCGAGCCATTCCAGTGGGGCACGAGACCTACCGAAATTGCCCCAGATTCTCCCCAGCGCCCTCGTCGTGCGTCTCCCCCATAAGTCGAGAATCGGGCGAGGCCTACGATATTCCCCGATCGCTCAACATCAACCATCCACTCACCTCATCGAGTTCGGCCAGCTCCCTGACAGCCGACTCACTAAGTTCCTCAAACCGTAGCAGCATGACCAACATGCCCGACTACGACATTCCTAGACCGCTTAATCGGGGCCCCCAGCTGGTGTTGGCGCCTCCGCAGCCCACCTACGACGTTCCTCCATCTCAGCAGCAACTGAAAGAACTACCGTTAGAGTTAAATTCAGCTTTGGAAAATTTGGAGAGGCTAGAGACTGATACGTTGAGTGCAATTTCAAAGTTACTCGGGTTTGTTTGCCCCAATTGGCGAACGCGAGAAAAATTGGAAAACAATAGACTGGAAATCAAACTGGCTGTAACGAGGCTACGGACATCCCTTCACGATTTGGCGGAATTCGGCGAAGGTTCGCTGGGAAATGCGGCGAAAGCTTCCGATAAAAATTTAGTGGTCAAACTGGCGCCTCAAGTTTCAGCGCTTAGAAAATCCGACGCGTTAGTACAAGGGGCGTCAGAAGTACTGGAAAGGCACAGATGGGCACTCAGTTTGCTGGCACGGCCAGAAACTTCCGACAAAGCTTCCAAACCCGATGAACTAGAGCAGCTGGTGGCTTGCGCCAGAGCTTTAACGGAAGATGTCCGGCAAATAGCGTCCTTTATTCAAGGGAACGGAACGCTTCTGTTCAAGAAAGAACAACCTATTAGTTCAACCGAATGGGCGGAAGAGTACGATTATGTAAGTTTCGATTCCAAAGAAAACGTTTCCAAGCAGAATGCCCAAATTCTCAGCGAGCTTCCACAAGAACTGAAAAAGGGCTTCGACAACTGCGTTAAACACGCAGACGACGCCGTTTTCGAAGAAGGCAGCCCAGCATTACCACACGACGATAAGCAACTTCTCAAATTTTTTGCATCGCAAATTATCACGCACCACACCAATTTAACACATGCCATAGACTCTTTCCTTCAGACGGTAGAGCATAATCATCCGCCCAAAATCTTTCTCGCCCATGGCAAGTTTGTAGTACTCAGTGCCCATAAATTAGTTCACATAGGAGATACAGTTCACAGAAATATTTCATGTAAAGATATTAAAGAACGAACCTTGCGTTTAGCCAACGCTTTATCGGATGCTTTGGCCACTAGCGTGAATAAGACGAAACAAGCAGCACTTCAATTTCCTTTGGTCAGTGCGGTTCAGGAGATGGTTGATTCGATCGTTGATATTTCGCATTTGGCCAAAGATCTGAAGGTTTGCCTTGTACAGGCCGCTCATCCTTTATAATTTTAAGTTCGACAAGTCACAGAGAAAAACATCCGAGCGCACTAATTTCGTCAATCAGTCACATTGAGTTTCATTTGCCAACTACTGTTTTTCTCTGTAACAATGTACCTACTACTTGATTTGATACTACTATTTTTCTACGTCATTTAAGTGTTTTCCACGCTCCACACGCCATAGTTCTAAAATGTGTACAAAAATAATATTTAATTTTATATCAGCTGCAAAAATTAGGGGCGTGGAAAGCAGTTAACGTTTGGTTGTTTGTGAATCGCTCAAACTAATTGCCAACCTGGAGGAGTTTCTATTAAGTTCGAAAGCTTTATTGTTTTTATTAGTTGTATAAACATTTTTATTTCAATAAATTTTACGTTGACTTTTATTTTGTTTTCTTTTTGCATGTTTCATTTGATTTGCCTTTTTTTAGTCGAGTTCTAATTATCTCGACCAGTTAGACACTTGACTCTTTGAACTGGGGAATTTTAATGTAAGGTATAAAGTTTCTAAAGACTAATAAATCGCTTACTGATAAACCAGACAATACTGGCTAAATGGGAAACGTAGGTGAGTTATCAGCGCCAGTCGAAATATATTGGTGGGGATCATCTCAGACTCCTTACATCAAAACTAACTAATATTCAAGTTTTCTTTTAGAATTCGGCTCATTATCCGAAACTGTTAAAATTAACCTTCCGCTTCAAGTGTCTCAGCCGTGTACTTTCTTATTTAGTGTATACGCACTAAATATGCAAAATCATCTCAGAAATCAATACCAATCTGATTTTGGCAGAATTTGTTGATCAAACTCGAAATCAAGTAGAATCGCAGAGCTCTGAAAGAAACCCTGAAAATCCCATTTACGCCATTAATTACCACTATATGAACGTCGAAAGCGTCCCATCAAACCACACATTCTAAGGGCTTCGATGAGTAACGGAAAACGCACAATAACCCGCACTAATATTATGGTCTTAGAATCGATAGCATGAATCTTAAGTTAATTAATTTACTTGCTAAAGTACGATATAGTTTTAAGTAATTTGTTAACAGGAAAGGTTAAACGTAGCAATTAATTGTATTTATTGTAGATTGATGATAGCGGGAGGAAACTTGCATTAAATTTCCATTTCTTTTTGATAGATAAATCTACTGCAATAATTTTTTTATTGCATAAAATTTATTGAGTAATTTTTTTATCAACATCAATGCTTGTTTACTCCTGTTTGTGTTTGTGCAGGGTTATCACGGATGAAATGGTTGTTTAGTTGCCGACATTAAAAATAAATACGAAAATTTATAAGACAACAGTAATCCTAGGCATGGGTAACTCAGTGAATTTTCGGGAGTTGGCGCAGTGATGCCGAAATGGCTTAGTGAGCCAACCCAACAGCACCGGCGAATTGCTGTGTCGGTCGGCAGTCGCCCATTTGTTGCGGGAAAACATTTCGAAAATAAACAAAAAATACTCTACAAGTTCAGAGTTGGGCGTTGAGTAAAGAATAGTGCGCTCTAAATGTTGTCAAAATTCCTGCAAACCCTCAAAAGTTCATTCAAATCGCTTGAAATCCTGAATTTTGCGCGCTTCGTAAATGTTGACTTGAAAATGAACGCTTTCACGCATCTGCAAACTCTTCATTGAAAAATTCCAACTTCTAAAGTAAAGCCAGTAGAAATTTGAAAGATTGAGATGATGTAAACGTTTTTTTAAATGAAATTTTGGCGTTAACTTGCACCTAAATGTCTGATATTCAAATTTCGTATGACCTTTGTGACAAATTCACCAGAGTTTGCTCACGCATGTTGCTATAACTGAATCAAGTTACCAATTATGTATCCAATGCTATAAAAAACGAACTCTGCAGCTCAAATGGTTCTTGAGCAACGTCAAAAAGAGTGGCGTCATGTTTCGATCGATTTTGCAATAAAAAAAAACATTTTAGCAAAAAGCTTAAGATGAGCTTGATATAAAAAATACAAAGCCGCCCAAAATATTTCCAAAGTTTAAATCTTAACTCCGAAAGAACCAATAGCTCAATCGATACCAAATTCACTAAATATGGGACTAAAAGTTCTTCCAGGGGCAAAGTAATGCTAAACTTACCGAAAATTGCGCAGTGCCATCTAGAAAAAAAAGAACAAAATGTGTTTAGTACAGCAGGAAATATGTCCAAAGCCAAACTTTTTTGAAATCAGCAAAGCAAAGAGAGAGAAATATAAAGAATCCATAAAACTTCAGTTGCTTATCGGAAAACTAAACCCAGTTCAAGCTAAAAGAATTGTAGATTAGAGATCATTCTTACCAGTGTTTTGCAAGCTGGCGCCCCAGCATCCATTTTCTACCCATTAATCATCAAGAAGTTGACTACAGTTTCACATACTACCGCACTTGCCATAAGGGTCACAATGATTCTATATTTCCCAGAGTGTGATTATCGATCAATTTCGTCCACTATCTGTAGCAAACTGAACATTCATACACTGTTTCGAGAAAAAAGACACCGAACTACAGAATAAACATGATTATTTAATCATTTAATTGTTCGCCCTTTCGATGATTCATGCTGCACTTGGCAGTTCGATTTCAGCTTGTTTATTGTTGGCATTTTTGTAGAAAGTGCCTATTCGCATTGCAATATTTCCAAAGGCAAGTTTCACGTTCCCACTTAACGGAAGTCAACGACAACTAAACGAAAAACGCTCCGAGTGTCGATCTTTCCCTAATTTAATTTTAAATTTAGACCCACCTATATTTGTCTGAATTTCACTCAGCTGCAGTGATTAATGCACAACGCCAAAACTAAACTAACTTAATAACCGAATAAATTTTGTTTTTGTAAAATATTGACTAAACAAAAAAACTGCGAAGAAATCGCTTAAAAGTTAAGTTATTGGTCAATTTCCGAGCGATGATAGAAACCAACTAAATTTCAACTAATTAAAACTTCTGATTTAAAGAATTATTCCGCCACATGCGCAATTCGAGGTGCAGCGCGATGACTTATAAATCACCAACTCATAGCGGCATTAACTCAAAAGCCCAACTCAACACAGTGTTACCCAGGCCTAAGTAATCCTAAAAAATTTAAACTGTTACAGAAAGTTCACGAACTTTTCGACCACAAGTGCTCGCTGTTTCTCGGAAGAACTGATATTATTTAATTATACTGTCTGTACATCTTATACCTACTCATTTTAGCGAATTATAAAATAAAAAATGAAACTTTTCATGAAACTTCAATACAAATAATTGAACAATTTCAAATACTATCGTGGTTTCTACCTCATTAAGCAACAAAAATCGATTAATAAGCAATACCAAACGGTGTTTTTGTGTGTTTCAAAATTTCCTTGTTTCGAGTAAATTGAGATACAAATGTGACGGTAAATTATTAAATTCTGATTGAGACCTGATCCGACCTGACCAATGCGCAATTTGATTATTCACCACTCAAATTTTTCTACTAGTTTCTTCTATTTGTCTGACTTCGATTTTCTTACGAAACTTACACTTGTTGTCTTGGCCGAGTACATTTTTTAACAAAACTGAATTTAGATAATTTCCTTACTTGAAGAAAAAATATGCAATCGCTTTCCATTTTTCTTGTATTTACCCTGCATATGCACAAACGAGAAAAATGGGCGACGGGATGGAGATACATTTTTTTTCAATGGTTATTTCATCTAAATCTTCATTCATGTAGTCTATGTTTGTTGTTGCAAAATTAACCACAACTTACAGTTGGGCTTAATGCACTTTTGATGTAAATGAAATAAGCTATTTACACCATTTCGGTGGTAAATTGAGTCGACTAATTTCAATTTACATTTTGAAAGTAAAGGCTTAAGAAACCGCAAATAAGTGTTGAAGGCTTTTAGAATAACTCTAGAGTTATAATACAGACCCTTCAAATTTCAGCAACAATGTACCGAAATGTATAACTTTTTGAATGAAATGAATCACAACTGATCCATGGCTCTGTAGTGGTGAATTATTTTCTATGCAAAATAATCTGAACTTTTACTTTTAAACTGCCTTTCAGGTTGAAAAAGTTTGCCTTATCTTAGTTTGGAAAATTAGTCTCAACTAAAATTTAGGCTTAATTGTTGTGATTATTTCAGTTAACCGAAACAGTTCAAAAGACTACCTAAACTCATGACTTTCGCTTATAATTTTATGTAAGCCATCTTATAAAATCAACTATTTTTCAATGTGCTCCAAACCAATTTGAAAGTACTTTACATAAGAAAAAACAGACGATTCTACGTGCTTCAAAGGAATGTATATTTGAGCATTTATTGCATACTATTCCATTCGGAATGTGTAGGACAACAGCAGTTGTGTTTATCAAGTTGTAGCTTCAAAAGAACACTCACAAAAGCCTGCATTGCGAATGGGGTTAGATGAAATGATTCTTTGGAGGAACAATTGGAAATCAGCAAGCAAACGGAAAAATCTATTTTATTCGTGTACAAATATAAAAAATGTGAAGGAAACATTAGATTGTTTCTTCGTGGCTCATTTTATCTAAGCCCTTTAAAATCGAGGCTTTTGCAAGGCACACATTTTAATTGCTTGAAACTTTATAAACAAACTTTTTAATGAAGATGTTAGTACCCGTAATATATAGTTTTTAGGCGGTTATGCGGACAGATAATATTTGCGATCAGAAAGAATTTACTGCTTTCGGCGGGAGCAGTGAGGTCGAAGGCACAATTGTTTTTCTGAATCCAAAAATTATCTGCCCGCTTAATTTGCTGATAAACGAATATTGTGAAAAGGACATTTTGCAAGGCGCAGAATGCATTTTACCAAATTTAGCGCAAAAGTTCAGTATTTAAAGATAGGGAAAAATGGTAAACGATGGCCGGTCGTCGAAAATATTGAATCACTTTGAGGCAAAATTGATCAGAATTTCGAAGTGTTCAGATTATTTTCAACGGTAAATGTTACGTAACTATCAGCATTTAATTTTCATATGAAAAATAATGTCATCTGTATTAATACATTTTAAACAAAAACTTTGTCGTAAGTATTCAGTTAAAACCGAAAAATGTCCTGTTATTAAAAAAAAATACCTAAAGCCCATTTTCCACAAAGTCTGCGAAATACGTATAAGGATTTTGTTCATTCTTAATGATTCCATATTTCCATACAATAAATTGCCAAATAATCAGGTTATGAGGTTCATTTGGTAAAGAAAAATTTCGCATTTGGATTAAACGTGGCAAAATTCAGATTAAACACGATTTTTTTTATGTATCAAGTGTTATTTTGTACATATTTGTATTTTATGCTGTAAAATTATTATAAATTATAGTTTTTAGTTGAGCTGTTATAATTACAGACAGTACAAATGTTTACAACCATTCCATGTTACTAAT